GTTGATTCGCATTTTATCTCTCAATTATTATTTAATTTTTCAATGTTTTATTCAACTGAACTTCTTTCTCTTCGAAGGAAAGGCAAATTGGCGCGATGTTGGTTAGCTGCAACTTTTAGTGAAAAAATGTTTAAAAAAACTTGTAAACCGGCATTAATTAAAAAGATTAATGTATCCTATATTTGGTAAGATACTTTCTTTAGCCTTGCTTTAAAATTTAAAAATGTCATATTAATAATTATGGATTAATAATTACTATTTTTTATTTATTGTTACGATAATGTAATTATATTATTTTTATTTATTACTTATAAATAAATATAAATATATTATATATATGTATGTATATATATATATATATAATTATTATATAATTATTATATAATTATATTATATATATATATATAATTATTCATTTATTGTTATATTTTTAGCAATGAAATTTTATCAACAGTTGAGATACGGAATAACAATAAAAATTATGATAGATTCAGTCTTTATCTTTCTTCGCAATTAATGTATGGTGCTACGAAAATACTTTTTTATCAAACAAAATACTTTCAAGGTCATAAATTTTTCAAATTTTATAAATTATTATTTCGTTTTATTTTTAAAAATAAATTTATTTTTTATTTTTTCTATATTATAGATTATCTATTTGAAGTAAATTGGAAATTACATGAAATAAATAGGTAAATTTATTTTTAAATTAAATTAGTTAATTTAAAATTTTTAAACATTTTTTTGGAAATTTAAAAATGTTTGATTATAATATTTGTAATATTTGTAAAATTTATATAACTTAAATTATTGATAAAAAAAATATTGAAAATTTCAAATGTTATTTTTCTTAGGTATAAAGAAGAGTTAAACGCAGTAATGTCATTAGAATTACCGGAAATTCCTCCTATAAGTGAGGTCTTCCGAAATTTAGAAATGTCATCGAATTTGCATTTAATTACCGAAGAACCATATTCTTCTGCCATAGAAAATTTGGTAAAATAAATGAAATGTTTTTGTAACAAAAAAACAAACCATGCGTATATTATTTGCGATAATAAAATTTTCTTTTATATTT